TCTAGTTTTACACCACAAATATAACATATTTTAGTGAATTACATAGGGATCTAAATAGAAAAAATAATTCTCTTTCTCCTGAATATAGTATGAATCCATATCTATTTACTTTTCATTCATGTTTTCCATTTTTTCTGAAAATGTTGTTGTTTTTAATACATTTTTATATTTTCTCAGTTCAAATATCACATACTGTCACATATACAAATTTGGAGAATTTTTTGTTTGACTTGCACCATATTTGTTTCTTGTTTTGTACGCTAATTAGAACCAAGGGAAAAGAAATGCATATTGCATTATGTAGAAAACAAAATTTACATCCTGCTGCATATATAAAAACTCTACAATTTTTTACTTTTCATTCATGGTTTTCAATTTTACTGAAAAAGTTTGAAAATTTCATAAATATTTTCAAACTGTCAAAATTAATTTATTTTCGATAAATACTCTCAATTGTTAGGGATGGGACAAATTTATTGGTTATTCAGAGAGTGATTCGAATTGAACAACGTACAAAAGTCGGTGTTCGCTCAGACAATTTTGTATGGGGAACTAAGTAATTACTTCATAATTAAGGGTAGAACAACGAATGAGAGAGCGAACAACGCTCGTCTGTACATGGCATAATGCCATGTACAGACGAGCGTTGTTCCCTCTCTCATTCGTGGTTCGACCCTTAATTATGAAGTAATTACATAGTTCCCCATACAAAATTGTCTGAGCGAACACCGACTTTTGTACGTTGTTCAATTCGAATCACTCTCTGAATAACCAAGAAATTTGTCCCATCCCTAACAATTGAGAGTATTTATCGAAAATAAATTAATTTTGACAGCCTGAAAATATTTATAAAATTTTCAAACTTTGTAGGGTAGATTGGGTAGATCCGGAACGATAACTAGATCATTGGAACTATTCCGAGAAAGGAACGATCAGAACTGGTTCCAGCTCTTTAATTAATTTAATTAATATAGTTCGTTGCGTGGGACTGACTGCATCACCAATTTTCTTTTAATTGAGTTAAAATAAAAAAATTTAAATAAAAAGGAAAAATTGTCCGTGACCTCCCGACCACAACAACCGGCACTTTAGATATGAAGCGTAAATGCTGTGGTACCAAAAATTGCTGCCCGCTACTGTCAGAGTTGCATTAACACCGATTAGTATCGATGTGTATTAATCGGATATGCAACTCTGCGATAATTATAGGGATTGCTAGGTCGTAGATAGAAAAAGATGATAAACAGCAGGAAAAAAAGGAAAAAAAGAAAAGCCCGAAAAAGAGGGAAAATTCGGCGTCGTCCCCTGCAGTATAAAAGGACCCCAAAGGGAAAAATGCGCTCTCATTTGAACAGTGGTGCGATACGACAGTTTTTCAGAAAATAAAGCAAACTCGAATATAAGTTTTATTAAATAAAGGCCTAAATCTGCCTTAACTGATTTTTATTTATGTTGTGGGCGTTAAAAACAGAGCGTAAGTGTAAAGTCATTGTGTAGTGTGTGATTGTGTCGACTTATGTTGTTTTTTGTGCGTTTTTTTTTTGTTTCCAGTGTACCGCCAATTAACCAAAAATCTGAGGCTTCAACTGACCTCCCCAACAAACATAAAACGGAGAGGTCAGTTTTTATTTTTATCGGCCATAAAAAAAACCGCTACCGCAACAGCCACCAACTTATTCAAGGCCACAATCGCTGCCATTGCATCGGCCGCACATAATCGTCACTAAAACAGCCACCAAATTGTCCCCAGCCACAATAGGCACGGCAACAACAGCAAGCGCCAAACTACCGGGTTCTGCCTTATCCCGAGGAAGACGTCGGCTGTAGGTGTGCTGGAATAAAAGAAAACAGAAAGGTTACCAATTATTATTATTTTGGATTAATCCAGGTAACGAAAATATTACTTACCAATTCCATATGTAAAATTGGCATCGCCGCCATAAAAATCAAAGCAACCAAAAATCTGAAAAGAAAGAAAAGAGAAAAAATATATTATTTACAAAACAAAATATAAAAAAAGGCATAACCAAAACTAAAGAAAAATGAAGAATATAAAAATTTTGAAAATCAATTAAAATTAAAAATATTAAAAAAATACTATATACTATTTAAACTCTTAGGTTAAGTTGTGTTGTCCATAAGTGTTTATTAAATAATGATTCTAAATATCTATATGTAAGAAGCATTAACTAGGTTTTTTCTTAAGATATAGTGATTATAGGGTTGCCCCAATTTATGTAGGTTGTTTTGTTCTTAGTGTGGACGAATTAATATGTCCAATAAAAACCTACTAAGCGAGCTCATTTAGGAAGGTATAGCAATTTTAATATTTAGGAAAAAAGCCTATATTGGCATTGCGTGATATCCACATAAAGAAAGGGTAAAAATCCAATGTTTAATGAATCACAAAATTTATAGAGAATAGTTAATGTTTCATTCTTATCGTGTTTTATCTATTAAGGAAATTATGTCAATAAACTGTTTTTAATTTGTTTGTTAAAAAATAATATGATGTTCTGATTGTTTTTGTGAGAGAGGAGAGTTAGGATATTGTAATGAGGTGAGTGTATGTGGAATTCGGGGCCCTTAAAATGTTGCTATTTTTAATAGGATCTGAGGGTCAAGGTAGGGTGGGCAAGTGTGGGAGTAAAACCACCAATCTCCCTTGTTTCAGGTGTACCAGGTGTTTGTGTTGTATAGTTTTGTCTTTATTTATGTTTGTCGGAATCAAAATTTAATTGTTCGTCCTCTAGGACTATTGGTGTCTGGGATGGAACCGCCCTGATTATTGGCTCCTGAGCTAGCGGCCGCAGATACACCATAGTGCCGAAGTAGATGGCACGTAACAAGTTCCTTTTTCTGATCCAGTTCTTTATTTGAAATATTTGAAGCCAAGGAACTATGTGGAGCAAAGGAACTATAAAGAGCAAAGGAACTATAAAGAGCAAAGGAGCTGTAAGGAGTAAAGGAACTATATGGATCAAAGGAACTATTGGAAGCAAAGGAACTATAAAGAGCAAAGGAACCATGGTATAATAATTACAAGGTAGGGCACAGCTACCAACTGATTACATTTTTTTCTCAAGGTGGCTTGTTCCATCAAATCAAAATACATATTTTGTGTATGTGTGTGTATTGTTTTGAATACAATGTCAAATAAATTCAAAATAAATTGAAATATATTCAAATTTAATAAAATGAAAATAAAGTTTTTAACACGTTCTTCTGGAAGTAATTACTTTGTTATGGATGAAACACCCATTTTATGGTTTTCCCTATTGGATTTTGGGAAGAAATCATAACCTTTCATTCATTTTTCGCGTTTTTAGTTTTGTGTTGAAAAAATGTCAAATAAACACAAACACTTGGTGTGTATATTTATTTTTGGCAGAAGAGGCCGCACGTGCATAGTTGCTTTTTTGTTATTCACCCCATGAAAGGAACTGTATAGAGTAAAGGAGCTATAAAGAGCAAAGGACTGTATGGAATAAAGGAACTATATGTGGAGCAAAGGAACTACATTAAGGAACTAGTTCATTTCTAATAAAGGAACGAGAAAGATCGATCTGCTACGTGAACTAGATTGCCCCGCTTGTTTATGCTAGGGATAAGTAAATCGAATTTGGACTAATCGATTTATCGACTTTTGTGTATTGAAAAGTCCATGATTCCAAGATCTATTAATAAGGTCACCAACAAGATCTATTAATAAGGTCACCAATAAGGTCGTTTCCACGACAGAGGGGCCTACGATCCGAAACGACCCGAGTCTTACTCGGTCAACGTCTGTCACCTCAGCCCATTGTGTAAAAGCAATAGGGCTGCTACAACAACAACATTAATAAGGTCACCAAGATAGCAATCGAAATCGGAAAACAGCTGTTTTTTTTTCAAGTCTAATGTCAAAAATTTCGACTTTGTTTACGTTTTCATAATGGAAGTCAATTCACAATAATGCATTTTGACAGCAAACTTGAGAGGTATCGATAATCAGCTGGTCTCCCTTGGTGACCTTATTTATAGGCCATGGTCACCAAGATAGCAATCGAAATCGGAAAACAGCTGTTTTTTTCTCAAGTCTAATGTCAAAAATTTCGACTTTGTTTACGTTTTCATAATGGAAGTCAATTCACAATAATGCATTTTGACAGCAAACTTGAGAGGTATCGATAATCAGCTGGTCTCCCTTGGTGACCTTATTTATAGGCCATGGAAGAGTCCAAGATCTATTAATAAGGTCACCAAGATAGCAATCGAAATCGGAAAACAGCTGTTTTTTCTCAAGTCTAATGTCAAAAATTTCGACTTTGTTTACGTTTTCATAATGGAAGTCAATTCACAATAATGCATTTTGACAGCAAACTTGAGAGGTATCGATAATCAGCTGGTCTCCCTTGGTGACCTTATTTATAGGCCATGGAAGAGTCCAAGATCTATTAATAAGGTCACCAAGATAGCAATCGAAATCGGAAAACAGCTGTTTTTTCTCAAGTCTAATGTCAAAAATTTCGACTTTGTTTACGTTTTCATAATGGAAGTCAATTCACAATAATGCATTTTGACAGCAAACTTGAGAGGTATCGATAATCAGCTGGTCTCCCTTGGTGACCTTATTTATAGGCCATGCATGATTCATTAAACTGGACGTGTCAGAAACAATCGTTATCGACAATTTTGGATTAAAATCCCCCAAGCTGTCAATTTTTTTACGTTTTCACACAATTAAGTCAATAGTCTGTTCCCGTACTGCAAGAATCTACTAGATTTTATTATTTTCTTCGATAACATAAAAGAAATTTCGTTATCGTAGTAAAAAGTAGTAGATTCTTGCAGTACGGGAACAGACCAAATTATACCATGTTTGGTTATTTTTTTCCGATATCATAATGGAAAATTATCCTAATTAATGACTTTTTTAAAATAAATAATACAGTGTATTTTTATTATTAGATTTTTAACATTCAATAATAATTATTAAAAGTGTAAAGAATCATTCAAAATTATTCATCGTTGCTGCTGTCAACAAGCTCCGTTAATGCCACGATTTGATCATTGAAATACTGATATAGAACTGTAACGGCGATTGAAAATAGCATCAGCACCTCGATCTAAAAATAAATAAAAGTTATAAATTTATAAATAAAAGTGTTAAATTTATTTAAAAAAAAAATATAAAATCATTAATTTTGAAAGTTGGTTTGTCTAACTTACTATAATAAAATTCCATATTTTAAAGTTCACTACATTGAACAGCTTTAATTTGATATTTTCCCTTAACACTCGTTTGATGTTTTTCAAAATATCAACCTTTTCTTCTGACAACGAGTTTTTGAGTTCGAGCACATTATTAATCTGCTTACAAAAATGATTTTTCTGAAAATAGAATGAAAGTAAATAATATAAAAAAACACCTATATTATTATGCTAAATCGAGATAATTAGAAAAAATGTGTTTTATTAAAATAATTTAAAACAACAAATGCTTTTATGTAGTTTTAATCTAACAAAAAACAATTTTGATCGAAATTATTAAAGTATTGATTGAAAACTTCCCCCAAAAATTATGAAACCCGTGAAATATGTATGTTTTTGTAAACTAAGCTAACTAACAGCTGACAAATCAAGGCTATATCATTCAAATACTGGTATAAACTGCTAGGGCTTTGTATTATGTACTCCTATGCTAAATCGAGGTAATTTCAAATACAACCCTGCTTTTGCTCAAAGTACGCTACGAAATATATTACAATTCAAAATATTTGTCTAACAAAAATATGGAAGCTGGTGAAAATGTTTTTTCTTAGTCTATAATGAACATTGCAATACTCTAAAAAAAAACAAAGTTGTTTTCGATTTTCTGACCTAAAAGTAAGTTTACATTTAACCGGATTTCGTTAACCAAGTGGGTTTCAATTGTCAATTCCTTTGCATATATGTCAAATAAATCCTCATAAAGTAGGTTAACCCGGTGAAAAGTTCTAATGTAAATCCGGTTTAATGGGAGTAATTTCTATTAAAATTAAAGATATTGATTGAAAAATTGCTACAGAAATCATGGAAACAGTGGAATGTGTATGTATATGTAAATAAATAATAGCAGGCAAATCAACTTTATTTCATTTTATACTAATCTAAACAGTAAGGACTTTATATCTTGATTTATAAATCGAGTCGATTTAGAAGGCATGGTCTAAACGCGCCTTATCTCGATTTGCTCGAAATCCTATGCTAAATCGAGAAATTACAATTCTAAATATTATATTTACCTATCAAAAAATAGAAGCTGGTGAAAGATTGATTTTTTATTTATAATGAATATTACTATAATCTAAAACAACAGATTTTTTATGCTTTTTAATCTAATTTGTCATTTTCATTGTATATATGTCAAATAAATCCTCATAAAGAACGTTAAGCCGGTAAAAAGGATTTATTTGACATATATCCAAAGGAATTGACAATTGAATCCCACTGGATTGACGAATCCGGTTAAATGTAAACGTAGTATAATGTAAATTCCGTTTAAGTATATGCTAAAGTAATTATTAAACGGCATATACATTAGAACTTTTTACCGGGTTAACCTACTTTATGAGGATTTATTTGACATATATGCAAAGGAATTGACAATAGAAACCCGCTGGGTTAACGAAATCCGGTTAAATTTAAACGTACTATTAGCTCTACAAAGTTTATAGAATTTATTTTATCAACAGCTTATGAGAACATTGTTACTCTGCCAACATTATTTAATTGGTTAAAAAAATTGTCCAATATTTTATAGATGAATTTGTTATGCTTTTTTAACCTAATGGGAGCAATTCTTTTCAAAATTGAAAAATTGCCACAAATATTATGAAACCGGTGAAATGTATATATATATAGTAAACAAATAACAGGTGACAAATCAACATTATATATTTTTAATACTAGTCTATATAGCTAGGATTTGGTACATCGATTAATCATATACAACATCGAGATAGTTTCAAATACAGCCCTGCTTTTCCACCAAAAAAATAATAATTTCTTTAAAAGTATGCCTCAAAACACTAAATAAATAAAAAAAAAATATTCCAAAATTGTTCCTAATTTATATTTGATTGAAAAATTGCCACAGAAATTCTGAAACCTGTGAAATGTGTACAGTGGCTCCATCGCATAATCGGACAAAAGGTTTTCTAATATAAATGTTTTTTGAACTTTAAAAATAAATTTAAATGGCTCCAAAAGGGAAACAATCCAGTGTGGAAATCAGGCAATTAATAGTTAAATTGAATTATGAAGGTAAAACAGTAAGAGAAATTGTCGAATTGGTAGGAATGTGTAAATCTACTGTCCACGACATTATAAAGACGTTCCGTGATGAGTTCAGATTGACCAATAAAAGCAGAGAAGGTCAAGGGAAGATATTAAATAAGCGAGAAGAGCGTTCGATATTAAAAGAAATAAAACAATATTCATTTAAAACCGCAAAAGAACTTAAAATAAATTTAAAAACTCGCACTGGAAAAGATGTGTGCCTAAATACTGTTCGCAATACATTACATAAATATGGTTATTATGGGAGAGTTGCAAGAAAAAAGCCATTTATAAGTCTTAAAAATAAAAACAGTAGAATAAAATATGCCAAGGAGTATTTACTAAAACCAGAAGATTTTTGGAAGCAGGTAATTTGATGATAGATCATCTTAAAATACATTTCTATTAATAGATTTCATTATATTAGGGTTCTGTTTACTGACGAAAGCATATTTAATTTGCATGGACCAGATGGAAAGATGTATGTGTGGCGTAAGCCAAATGCTGAATTTAATCATAAGAATACAAAAGCCACTGTTAAGCACGGAGGAGGTTCTGTTATGGTTTGGGGCTGCATGTCGAGTGCGGGAGTAGGCAATTTGCATTTTATTGATGGTAAAGTGGACAAATTTGTCTACCTCAACATTTTAAAACAAAATGTATAGCGAACAACTTTGCCTTTTATCAAGACAACGATCCCAAGCACACATCAGGTGTTGCAAAGCTTTGGTTGATCCATAACTGCCCCAAACTTATACAAACACCTGCATAGAGCCCAGATCTTAACGTTATTGAGCATCTTTGGGAAAAATTAGCTAGGAGAGTATATGGAACAAAATTTAACTCCTTAGTACAGCTTTAGGAGGCTTTACTGGAATTGTGGAACTCCACAGAGTTATGCCAGAATTTGGTCAAATCAATACCGAATCGTTTACAGGCCGTTCTGGACAACAAAGGATATGCAACTAAATATTAATTTCTCGATTTTTTTTGCATTTTTTATCATTAATACTTTGCTTTGTCCGATTTTGCGTTGAACACAATCATTTGAGTTAATTTTGTTCTTCTGACGAAATTTACTGTTATCACTTGGAAAGTTGTTGTTTTTTTGTATTGTTCAGAAATATAAGTAAGTAATGTGTAAATAAAAGCGAAAAAAACTACACATTTACACAATTTTTTGAAATGTATAGCATTATTATATCTGACAACCACTTGTCCGATTAATCGATGGAGCCACTGTATGTATGTATACGTAAACAAATGACAACTGAATAGCAATTTTATATCATTTTAATGTTGGTCTAAACAGAAAGGAATTGATTCTTTTTAAAAGGCATAGTCTGAACGCGCCTTAAATCGAGATCATTTCCAATGAATCGAGATAATTTCAAAACAACCCCGCTTTTACTCTAGAAAATAATCACTTCTCCTAAAACTGTGCTACAAAATGCCAAAAAATTAAAATATTTGCCTAACAAAAGTATAACAGCTGATGAAAAATTTATTTTTTCATTTGCAATTTACTATAATACATTAAAACTACACATGTTTTTATGCATTTTTGACCTAATGAAAACCAATTCTTATCAATTATGAAAATATTGATTGAAAGATTGCCACAGAAGATATGAAATCACTGAAATTTTTATGTACACAAATAACAGCTGACAACAGCTTGGATTTGGTACCTCGATTTAGAATCGCGCCTTTAGGGCGTATTTCTGAATTTCATTAATTGAGTCGATTTAAAATCGTAGTACGTTTTCATTATACCGGATTTCGTTAACCCAGTGGGTTTATAAGTAGCCAATTCCATTGTATATATGCCAAATAAATCCTCATAAAGTCGGTTAACGCCATAAAAAGTTCTAATGTAAATACAGTTCAAATATATTTTAGCAGTTTTAAATTAAAAAAAAAGTATTAATACTTTGCCGCGTAATGTTAACTAATGCCCACCTCGCATTATACTTACCATTTTCTTAAAACTTAACAGCGTCATCGACAATAGAAAATAATCCAAAAATATACAAACAAATACGAGTGAATTAGCAGCATAGAAGACACGACGATTGCGATCGGTAAAAATGGGATGCCATTGTTTTTCGAAATATAATTTTGTATAAATTCCATAGAGTAGGCAATTATAATTGAGGCCGTTCAAAACCAATAATTGTCTTTGTAGGATTTTATTAGTGGAACTCAAATAGTTGGCAATGGCTTTAATTCCATCTGCAACATTACGATAAGCCTCGACAGGAGTGGCTTCAGGTTTCTCCTCTATATCACATTTGTTGATAATTTCATTATTTACATCGATCGATGTGAAAATTTCACTTGGTGTAGTATTATCTTTTAAATCTTCTTTTAAGACAGGATTTATAATTTCAACAATTACATGTTTCTCCTCTTTTTCGGAATTTTTCATTATCAGCTGATCTTTAAATTCCGAAAGTTTTCTTCTAAGCAACCACAATTTTAAGGTGTGCATTCTCAAAGCACCAGCCACCATAAAATGTGGTATAAATAATGACATGGCAATCAGGATATGATCCATCGGTGGCAATTCAAATTTCATTTCTATGGCAATATACAAACCAAATCCAAAAGCCACCAAGAGATTTGAGAAGAACATTAGGTATGTTAATAATTCATCACGAATATCCCTTTTCTTAGACACATTTAGTGGGCCACTGTGGGTTTCCGCCAATATCTCAACTAAGCCATTAAATACTTTTGTCAAGAACTTCCATTCAATTATGCAAAAAATGAAAGTTTTCAACCCCAACCATATTTGAAAATTTAGTAGATTTTTTAAAAATGGTGATAAGTCCAATGTGATTTTCATCAATGCCGATTCTTCGAAGTGATGTTCAAAGGATATCAAATAAATGACAAGGAGGCAAACAAAATATATCACACTCCATATGGACACGCGATAACGTTGACTCTTAACTTCCAAGGTACGAATTTGATAGCCCGTCAATGGCAAATAGCCAGTGGTTATGCGTAATATCCGTTGATAGTTCATTTTTGAAATGTTGATTTGAAACTGATTTCAAACTTCAATGAATTTCGAACAAATAAAATAAATGGCTCGATTAAAGTGGAAAGATCAAAATCAGCGTTTGTGTGTAATGGCCCATAACAGTTGACGTTAAATAATTAATGGGAATTCAACATTAGAATTTGGGCAATTGAAATGATTTATTTCATTGGATTTTGTTAATAAAAAATAACTTCTAAGTATTCCCAAGATGAAAAATGGTCGCCAATTAATGATACTAATTATTTTCTATAATAAGTACATGCTAAACTAATTATTAGCCATTCAAAGTTTATACAATTTTTATCACCAGTATTAAACGGATATAAATTTGATTTGTCAGCTGTTATTTGTTTAAGAATACATACACATGTCACTGCTTTCATAATTTCGGTGGCAATTTTTCTATCAATATTTTCATAATTTGAATAGGAATTGCTCCCAATTAGGTCAAAAAATGCCAAAAAAATTCTTTTTATACCCTTCACCACACTGTGGTACAGGGTATTATGTCTTTGTGCATATGATTGTACAGGCAAAAATAATCGAGATAGACCCATGGTTCCTTTTGAGAATATGCATAGAATCACTTTCTGAGTCGATTTATGCATGTCCGTCCGTCTGTCCATGTTAAATTGTAAACAAAGTACAGGTCGCATTTATGATCCGCATTGGATGAAATTTGGCACAGCTCATTGGTTTGGCCCAGGGACGAACCCTATTGAAATTGGGAAAAATCGGTTCAGATTTAGATATATAGCTCCCATATATATTTTCGTCCGATTTAAGGTAAATGGTGTACCAATGTCCCTATATACGATTTGCACGAAATTTGGTACAGCGTAATGAATAAGGTCTAGAAGGATGTGGCACAGTTTCGTGAAAATCGGTTCAGATTTATATATAGTTCCCATATATATTTTCATTAGATTTTAAGTAATTGGTGCACCAATTCGAATGATCTGAAAATCATTCGATTTACAGGAAATTTGTCATAGCGTACTGAATTAAGGCTAGAATGACTTGTGCTAAGTTTCGTGAAAATCGGTTCAGATTTAGATATAGCTCCCATATATTTTCGTCCAATTTTATGTAATTGGTGCACCAAAGTCTCTGAAAATCATTAGATTTGCACGAAATTTGTCATAGCGTACTGAATTAAGTCTAGAATGATGTTGCTAAGCTTCGTGAAAAGATCCATAGCTAGGCCGATTGACACAACGTACGGAAGTAATATAATTAGTTTCTGGCAATTTTCCCTGAAATCGGTTCATATATAGATATATAACAAAAACGCGTCGTCTGTTAGGATACACATGTCGAATATACCCATAGTGGTGAAGGGTATCATATAGTCGGCCCAGTCCGACTTTACTACTTTCCTTACTGGTAACAGTAATATTTATTATAAAATTAAAATAATCCAAATTTTTCATTGGCTGTCATATTTTCGTAGTTGTAACATATTTTGTAGCACACTTTAAGGATAAGTCATTATTTTTTGGTGAAAAAACAAGGTTGTATTTGAAATTATATGGATTTAGCATAAGATTTTGAGCAAATCGAGATGTTTAGTGGATTTAATTTTGTGTGGTAATAGAGGTAAATTCAAATTTAGTAATTAAATCGAGATAATGCACATTATCTCGATTTAGAAGAATAGTCTAAACGCACCGACCACGAAACTACCGAAACCGATATTTAAAAAAATCCACTGTATATATAATATGGCTCGGATTTCTGTCGAAAATAAAATATGTACGATGACTTCATGACCTTCAGTTCGTCTATAATGCCTCCAGCTTCTCTATATGTATTCCGTGATTCCGCTCTACGATAAAAACGCCTTCAGCTTATCAATAAAGCCTGCCATCAGCTTGTCTATAACGATTCTCTGGCTTTCAGTTCGTCTATAAAAACCCCATGCCCTTAAGTTTAATTATAAAGAATCTCTGCCCTTTAGTTCATCTATAAAGACTATTTGCACTTCAGCCTGTCTTAAAAGATTATCTCTCCGTTAGCTGGTATATAAAATTCCCTGACCTTCAGAACCTGTTATTCAGCTCTTCTATTAGGACCTCCTGGACTTCAGATCTTCTATAAATATAGCCTTCAGCTTGTATACAAATATAACGTTCAGCTCCTTTAAAAATATCGCTCATTTGCTGCAAGAGAGGCATAACTCAAAAAACGTGATTTTCGAGTTAATGATGCACGATTGTTCGCTATAATATACCTCATGTTGTGTAAAAAATTCATATGAATATCTCTTACACACTCTAATTGAGAAGCTGTAGAAGTTCTTCTGTATCAATTTCCTCCATAATCGGTGACTGATTCGGCTCGAAGGACCAATAATAAACAGGAGAATCTTCTCCGTGGAGTGTGTAAAAGCACAACGAATAGATCAGTGCTGAGGGATGTCGTCTAAAAGACAGTCCTCAGCGCGTCTTCCATCAGATTCCAATAATCAACAGGGGGATCTTTTCCACCACAGATATTCTCCGTGGAGTGTGTAAAAACTCAACGAATATGCACAACATTTTCTCTTCGTCAGTCAGTCATTTTTGATGGTGAACTCCGACACACTTACTCTCAATTTAGTTCCGCTCGTCTATAAAGACTCCCTTCAGCTCGTCTATAAAGACTCCCTCCGTCTCGACTATAAAGACTCCCTCCGGCTCGACTATAAAGACTCCCTGCTTCAGCTCGTCTATAAAGACTCCCTCCGGCTCGACTATAAAGACTCCCTGCTTCAGCTCGTCTATAAAGACTCCCTGCTTCAGCTCGTCTATAAAGACTCCCTGTTTCAGCTCGTCTATAAAGACTCCCTGTTTCAGCTCGTCTATAAAGACTCCCTGTTTCAGCTCGTCTATAAAGATTCCCTGTTTCAGCTCGTCTATAAAGACTCCCTGCTTCAGCTCGTCTATGAAGACTCCCTGCTTCAGCTCGTCTATAAAGACTCCCTGCTTCAGCTCGTCTATAAAGACTCCCTTCGACTCGTCTATAAAGATTCCCTTCAGCTCGTCTATAAAGACTCCCTGCTTCAGCTCGTCTATAAAGACTCCCTGCTTCACCTCGTCTATAAAGACTCCCTGCTTCAGCTCGTCTATAAAGACTCCCTGCTTCAGCTCGTCTATAAAGACTCCCTGCTTCAGCTCGTCTATAAAGACTCCCTGCTTCAGCTCGTCTATAAAGACTCCCTGCTTCAGCTCGTCTATAAAGACTCCCTGCTTCAGCTCGTCTATAAAGACTCCCTGCTTCAGCTCGTCTATAAAGACTCCCTGCTGCAGCTCGTCTATAAAGACTCCCTGCTGCAGCTCGTCTATAAAGACTCCCTGCTGCAGCTCGTCTATAAAGACTCCCTGCTGCAGCTCGTCTATAAAGACTCCCTGCTGCAGCTCGTCTATAAAGACTCCCTGCTGCAGCTCGTCTATAAAGACTCCCTGCTGCAGCTCGTCTATAAAGACTCCCTGCTGCAGCTCGTCTATAAAGACTCCCTGCTGCAGCTCGTCTATAAAGACTCCCTGCTGCAGCTCGTCTATAAAGACTCCCTGCTGCAGCTCGTCTATAAAGACTCCCTGCTGCAGCTCGTCTATAAAGACTCCCTGCTGCAGCTCGTCTATAAAGACTCCCTGCTGCAGCTCGTCTATAAAGACTCCCTGCTGCAGCTCGTCTATAAAGACTCCCTGCTGCAGCTCGTCTATAAAGACTGCAGCTCGTCTATAAAGACTCCCTACTGCAGCTCGTCTATAAAGACTCCCTACTGCAGCTCGTCTATAAAGACTCCCTACTGCAGCTCGTCTATAAAGACTCCCTGCTGCAGCTCGCCTATAAAGACTCCCTGCTGCAGCTCGCCTATAAAGACTCCCTGCTTCAGCTCGTCTATAAAGACTCCCTGCTTCAGCTCGTCTATAAAGACTCCCTGCTGCAGCTCGTCTATAAAGACTCCCTGCTGCAGCTCGTCTATAAAGACTCCCTGCTGCAGCTCGTCTATAAAGACTCCCTACTGCAGCTCGTCTATAAAGACTCCCTACTGCAGCTCGTCTATAAAGACTCCCTGCTGCAGCTCGTCTATAAAGACTCCCTGCTGCAGCTCGCCTATAAAGACTCCCTGCTGCAGCTCGCCTATAAAGACTCCCTGCTGCAGCTCGCCTATAAAGACTCCCTGCTTCAGCTCGTCTATAAAGACTCCCTGCTGCAGCTCGTCTATAAAGACTCCCTGCTGCAGCTCGTCTATAAAGACTCCCTGCTGCAGCTCGTCTATAAAGACTCCCTGCTTCAGCTCGTCTATAAAGACTCAGATCGTCTATAAAGACTCAGATCGTCTATAAAGACTCAGATCGTCTATAAAGACTCAGATCGTCTATAAAGACTCAGATCGTCTATAAAGACTCAGATCGTCTATAAAGACTCCCTGATCCAGCTCGTCTATAAAGACTCCCTGCTTCAGCTCGTCTATAAAGACTCCCTGCTTCAGCTCGTCTATAAAGACTCCCTGCTTCAGCTCGTCTATAAAGACTCCCTGCTTCAGCTCGTCCATAAAGACTCCCTGCTTCAGCTCGTCTATAAAGACTCCCTGCTTCAGCTCGTCTATATAACCTCCCTGCTTTAGCTCGTCTATAAAGACTTCCTTCAGCTCGTCTATAAAGACTCTCTGCTTCACTTCGTCTATAAAGACTGCCTGCTTCAGCTCGTCTATAAAGACTCCCTGCTTCAGCTCGTCTATAAAGACTCCCTTCAGCTCGTCTATAAAGACTCCCTTCAGCTCGTCTATAAAGACTCCCTTCAGCTCGTCTATAAAGACTCCCTTCAGCTCGTCTATAAAGACTCCCTTCAGCTCGTCTATAAAGACTCCCTTCAGCTCGTCTATAAAGACTCCCTTCAGCTCGTCTATAAAGACTCCCTTCAGCTCGTCTATAAAGACTCCCTTCAGCTCGTCTATAAAGACTCCCTTCAGCTCGTCTATAAAGACTCCCTTCAGC